TTAGTATTTAGTAATAGTATTAGTAATGAGAGATATTGGATACTAAATATTATTAGTATCCGTAGAAATATTAGGGCTATACGGACTCGAACCGTAGACCTTCTCGGTAAAACAGATCAAACTGATTATTATCGAAATGATTTGAATTGTTTTAAAAACCCAACGTGCATTTTTTTCTTGCATTGGGCTTTTTCATTAACTGATAGAAATAACAGTTAGTCCACTATCTTTTTTCTTGACAGAAAGAATAAAGATATGATTCCTTGTGCTCTGATTTTTGATTTGGATTACAATCTAAGAGCACTACCAAAGTGTTTCAAAGAAGGGTTATCCTGACATAGGTCTGCTTCTAGCCTAGATCAACTTAAGTTAAATGGATTCTCTATCTACCCACTAAAATGAAAATATCAAATAGGAAATGAAACTTCATACACCTTAAAGTTCATAAGATAGGAACAAAGGATAATTTTATTTGAGGTTCCTATACCCATTATGCTTAGCATTGAAGAGGAGTGAGTATTGACCTTATCAATATCTCAAATCAATAATGGATTCTATTTTACGTCTAAATCCTTTGTCAGGCTTTTGTTCTCTTGTTCCTTAAAATGGAGTAAGACATGGATTTATTAATAATAAGATAAACTCTTTTGATTACAAGACGGACTCCTCTGAAAAAAAACATTGGCGCGCGTGTAAACGAGGTGCTCTACCTAACTGAGCTATAGCCCTTGTGCTTTTAATACATATTTTATCATATTATGTAGATAATTTCTTGTCAAGATGAATATTACATGATCCAATCCCTTTGATATTGCGTTGGTATTGCTTATAAGTAATATTCGATTTATAATCTATTGATCTGATCGATAGAGACTCTTTTTTTTTTTTTCTATTTGGGGTGATAAATGACCTACTTAACTCAGTGGTTAGAGTATTGCTTTCATACGGCGGGAGTCATTGGTTCAAATCCAATAGTAGGTAAGGTATAGTTAGAACTTATTAGATACCAGAGTCAATGGTATCTAATAAGTTGTTCTATTCACCTTTTTTCTATCTTTTCTTACTGTTTTATTGAATTTTTATTTATTTCTTTTTTTAGAATTATTCGGACGTACCAACTTGTTACGAAATCATATTGATAGCCTCTACTCGTGTTCTAGCTCGTCTGAGAGCTAGATTTGCCTCAATTGTTTGTCTCTTGCCTTCAGCCTTATTCAAATTAGCTTCTGCTATTTCAAGAGTTTGCTGTGCTTCTTGTGGATCAATGTCACTACCCTTCTCCGCATCATTTACTAAGACAGTGATCTCATTATTGCCTATTCTAGCAAAACCGCCCATGAGAGCCATCGTTAACCATTGGTCGTTAAGGCGTATTCTCAAAATACCTATATCTACAGCTGTGGCAATAGGCGCATGATTTGGTAATACTCCAATTTGTCCGCTATTCGTAGATAAAATGATTTCCTTCACTTCTGAATCCCAAACAATTCGATTGGGGGTCAGTACACAAAGATTTAAAGTCATTTCTTCAATTTGCTCTCCATTTCTAAATTCACAGCCTTCGCAGTAGCTTCATCGATATTACCCACTAAATAAAAGGCTTGTTCAGGAAGACCATCTAATTCTCCAGAAAGAATCAATTTAAACCCTCTAATTGTTTCTGCTAGACCAACATATTTCCCCGGCGAACCGGTAAATACTTCTGCTACGAAAAAGGGCTGTGATAAGAAACGTTCAATTTTTCGTGCTCTTGCTACGGTTAAACGATCCTCCTCGGATAATTCATCCAACCCAAGGATAGCTATAATGTCCTGAAGTTCTTTGTAACGTTGTAAAGTTTGTTTAACTCTTTGTGCAGTTTCATAATGTTCTTCACCAACGATCCGAGGTTGGAGCATAGTTGACGTTGAATCTAAAGGATCCACTGCTGGATAGATACCTTTGGCCGCTAATCCTCTTGATAGTACAGTAGTAGCATCTAAATGTGCAAATGTCGTGGCAGGAGCAGGATCGGTCAAATCGTCTGCAGGTACATAAACTGCTTGAATAGAAGTTATGGACCCTTCTTTGGTAGAAGTAATTCTTTCTTGTAAAGAACCCATTTCAGTACTAAGGGTGGGTTGATAACCCACAGCAGAGGGCATTCGACCCAATAAGGCAGATACTTCAGATCCTGCTTGGACGAAGCGGAAGATATTGTCAATAAATAGAAGTACGTCTTGCTCATTGACATCTCGAAAATATTCCGCCATAGTTAGGGCAGTTAAACCAACTCTCATACGAGCTCCGGGCGGTTCGTTCATTTGACCGTATACTAGAGCTACTTTTGATTCTGCAATATTTTGTTCATTAATTACTCCGGATTCTTTCATTTCCATGTAAAGATCATTTCCCTCACGAGTACGCTCACCTACTCCGCCAAATACGGATACACCTCCATGAGCTTTGGCAATGTTATTGATCAATTCCATAATGAGTACCGTTTTACCTACACCAGCTCCACCGAAAAGTCCTATTTTTCCTCCACGGCGATAAGGGGCTAAAAGATCTACTACTTTTATTA